TGATTGGTGGATCTGATGGATAGAGCTTCATCAGAGGTAAACAACAAAAGAAACCTGAAGCTCCTATGTATGGAGAGCTGTTTCATTCAAAATACAATAATGAAATAAATAATGAAATAAATAAACAAATAATGTAATTAATAAAGTATAAATAAATATTCCATCAAATACATAAAAGTCCCCATGGAAAAAAATACAACAAAATGTGCAATCACTGCAGAGAACTCTACTTGAAAACAGACCATTTTAGCCATAACTTGAGACAGGAAGGGGCTAGCTGCACGAAACTTGAAAGCCATACATTTGGAAAGAGGATTAACAATTTGGCTTGGCCAAAAAAGCTCTGACCAACCTGGAAAACAATCACTATTTTTAATCCGAGTGATAAAATCAGTGCTGTTTGACCATAAGCCACCATAAGTATCTCTGCAAAGCCTTTATAATCACAGAATGACAGTCATTCAACTCATGTATGGACTTAAGTCTGTGTTTTATTAATAAAAATGAAAGTTTAATTATGAAGAAAGGCCAGGCAGGGGAATATCCTCCTCTGGTGGTGAAACAGAACTTCCTGAATCCCAAACCTCAGCGAGAACTCCGCCCCCTCATTTGCATATTGGACCATGAAATTAAATGCCATGAAATGGTAAAACAGCCTGAAATAGTAAAACGGCATGAAATAAAAAAGGAGTTCGAAACAAAGGTCCTTGAAATATGTAAAGTAGCTTTACAAAATAAAAGTGTCACAAAATAAAACTACAATGTAATAAATAAATAAATAAAGACATGCTAAAAATGTATCATATTAATTTAGTTTTTTCCATGGGGACATGTATGTATTTGATGGAAAATGTATTAATACTTTAATAATTACAGTATTTATTTATTGTATTTTGAATGAAACAGCTCTCCATAGTAACAGAGTGGTTCTATGTGTCGATACATCAGATGGTTTCTGAGTTACAAGGTTCTGTGAAATCACTGAAAACAATACAGCAATGTACTGATATTAGACATTTTAATTTGTACCTTTGTATACTTTATTATTATTAAATGCATGTACTTTAGAATATTTGAGTACTTTTAAATGCATGTACTTTTGAATACTTAAGTATTTTCAAAAGTAATTACTTCAGTACTTTAACTTGAGTACATTTTTTGACCAAGTAACTTTTACTTGTAGTTGAGTAGATTTGACCATGAGGATCAATATTTTTACTCGAGTACTAGAGTTGAGTATTTTGTCCACCACTGTAAATAACATTTTTCTGTCATCGCTTCATAAAACAGTAACAGATTAAACCAGCACTCACCTTAAGAACTGCTGTATGGATGGTATACTTTTATTTCAAGAGCAAAACTGATCATTTATAACAGATTACAGGATTTTTGAGCAGCCAGACAAATGCAGGATTATTTTACAAATAAATAAATAAATAAATAAATAAATAAAATAAAAGACATGATCTGTGTACAGGAATTGTCTCTTAATTATATTGTTCAGTTTTTTTTTAAATTTTCACCTCTTTGTCAATTACATGTCTTTATAGCACAGGGTTATTCAACTAGTGGGCTGCAGTTACTCAAAGCAAATCATAAAAATTAAATCCTAAATTTAAAATTTGCAATTTAACTTCAAATTATTTTTATATTTAATTCAGGAGCTCATTAGCAGGTCGGTCAGAGGTCACCACCGGGCCAGATGTGGCCTACGGGATGCCAGTTAAATAGCCCCATTTTAGCATATTTAGCATTATATGTACATTTAAAAAAAGATTAACATTGACAAAAAAAGGTTTCTGGCAACAAATAAAAGCAAATTTGTATTTATTGCTCCAGGGTTGATGCAGTGCAAGAAAGCGATGATTGACCCGTGAGCTCATTTACAACAGCTGATAAAAGAGCAAAATGACAACACAAGTAAAATCATGCAAAGAAAATTCAATAAAAATTCCTGATTTGCTGCTAAGAATTGCTTGCATTGCACAAAGGCTACACATACACCTGTAATCCTCACACTTTATATTTACTGTATCTGCATTCACTTATTTAAACTGGCAAATATTAAAAAATGAGATTTATTCCTTTTTGTTGTTTATCTGGAAGGCTTCAGAGATACCAGCACAAAGTTTCTAGGAGAAAAATGTGGGTCGAAGAGAGGAACTAGCTGGCTGTCCATACCTGCAGAGAGAGTTAATGCTTCAATAAAGATAACTCAATGACACAAATGTGGGAAAGCAATTAGTTTGATGTCACCCGCCGGCTCACCATTCTCCTGCAGGTAGATCATCCTGTCGAGCAGCACCAGCGTCTCCACGACAGGAGCTAACAGCAGGGCCAAGCTGAAGTACACCACCACCCTGCTCTGATGCGCCAACATGGCCTCCACTTTGTCCGGGTCTAAGGGTAAATCAGGAGGTAGGCTGACCCGAGTCAGACCCAGGCGGGCATATCTGGGAAAAGACAGGGATGTAAACAAAGGATTACAGAAAATAATATTAGTAAAATGTTTTTAAAGGGATCCACGATTAGTTGTAACATTAGACTTTATTTAATAAACATATATTTTAACTGTAAAATAAAG